AACCTTTATAATGATCTCCATTCTGATTATAAAATGTATGCATGCTTATTCCCAAATTTTGAATAACAAATTTAAAACCACCCACAATTTCATGATCCAGATATAATCACTATAAGCATATTAATGTTTTTCCGTCTAGACTTTTTTCTATAATAGTTTATATGCACTATACTTTTTTCTTTTTCTTTTTTCCCTCTGTTTGCAAAGCCTTTATTTGAGTCAAAGTGTTAAAGATTCTTTGCTAACCTGATCTTTGGTGCCAAAAGCTGGGCTACTTTAACCGAGCTGAGGGGCTTCTGTCCCTCCTAACCCCTGTGCCCGGTACAGTGTCTGGGACACAACAGGCTCCCAACAAAGTGAACAGAACAGATGCACATATGAACAAAAGAGTGACTGACCACGGCCACATGTGTCACATTAACTCAGTAGATACACTATACATTTTGGGAGGAATTGGAATATAAATATTTGGAAATATACTGGTAATATTTTCCAAATACTAGAAAACTGAAATATATATCATGTACATTTCCATATAAATAGCTAACATTTCCTGAGTCTCTACTATGTACTTTCAACTTAATTGAGTCTTAGATCTAAAGTATAAAAAGATACTCTTGTTTTCTTAAGCAGTCTGACAATGTATTATTATCTATTGTATTATAACAAATTATCCCATTACATCATAAAATAACATATATTCATTATCTTTTACAGTTTCTGAAGTTAGGAATCCAGGAGTGGCTTAACTAGGTGGTTGTGGCTCTGAGTTTTCATGAAGTTACAGTCAAACCATCAGTGGAGGTGCAGTTATCTCAAAGAAGTTTTGGCAAACGATGGCTCTGGCCCAAATCCACCCACTGCCTGTTTTAGTAAGGCTCACAATCTAAGAATGATTTTTGCATTTTAAAATAGCTGAAAAAAAATGAAAAGAAGAATAATTTCATAACACTGAAAATTATATGGAATTCAAATGTCAGTGTCCATAAATAAAGTTTTCTTGGGACACAGCCATGCTTTTTCATTTCTGAGTCACCCCATGGCTACTTTTGTGCATTGTCAGTGTCATGCAGTAGTTGTGGCAGAGACTGGATCACCCATGATGCCTAACATATTTGCTCTGTGGCCATTATAGAAAAAGTTTGCAACCCCTGTTCTAAAAGCTTGACTGGGATTGGAGGAGCTTCTTCCAAGTAGGGGGAGTGTATAGCTCAATGGTTAGAGCACATGCTTAGCATGCACGAGGTCCTGGGTTCAATCCCCAGTACCTCCATTAAAATAACTAACTAAATAAATAAACCTAATTACCTCCCCCACCCAAAAAAGACCAAGAAGCAAAAAAAAAAGAAAGACTCTCATCCATGGTTGTTGGCAGGACTTTTCAGTTTCTTGTCACATGGACACTTACATAGGACTGTTAACGAACTTACTAAGTTGTTATATATATGTTATATATATATATAATATATAATATGTTATACACATATACACACACACAATGGAATACTACTCGGCCATAAAAAAGAAAATGCCATTTGCAGCAACATAGATGGACCTGGAGATTGTCATTCTAAGTGAAGTAAGCAAGAAAGAGAAAGAAGAATACCATATGATATAATTTATATGTGGAATCTAAAAAAAGACACAAATGAACTTATCTACAAAACAGAAACAGACTCACAGATATGGAAAACAAACTCATGGTTACCAGGTAGGGAAAGGAGTAGGGAGAGGAATAAATTGGGAGTTCAAGATTTGCATATACTACTATATATGAAATAGCTAAACAACAAGTTTCCAATGTACAGCACAGGGAACTATATTCAGTATCTTGCAGTAACCTATAATGAAAAAGAATATGAAAAGGAATGTATGTATGTATATGTATGACTGAAATATTATGCCGTACACCAGAAATTGACACAACATTGTAAACTAACTACACTTCAATAAAAACAAAACAAAAAGAACAAAAAGAAAACTGAGAAAAAAAAGGAAAAAAGTTAACTGACTCCTCCCAGCGGAGTGATCCAATAGTGAGAAACCAAGAGAGGAAGCCGAGACAGAAGCTGTCTCTAATAAACCCAGTCTGAGAAGTGACATACCATCACTTTGCCATATTCTCTTAGTCACACTGATCAATCGTGGTACAATTTGGGAGGGGTTCACATGAGGGTGTGAATACCATGGGAGGCCACTTTGAGGACTGATTACAATCTCTGACTTTTGATCAGAATGTTTATTGCATTCACATTTGATGTAGTTATGGATAGAGCTGGTTTTATGGCTGCCATTTTGCTATTTGTTTTTCCTGTTACTCCTTCGCTACCTGCTTTTGTATTAGACAGTTTTTGTGTACCATGTAAATTCCTCTGTTGATTTTTCAGAACTGTATATTTTGAAAGCTGGTTTTTAAATAGTCACTCTGAATGGACATATCAAGGACAAAATGGAGGGATAGATGTGCTGGAAGACAGAGAATTGCATGGAAAAATGGAGGAATGAAGTAATGAATGGATTAATAAAAGTTGGATGTAAGGATGGCTGAATGGATAGAAATATGGACTAGTAATAAATAAACGGTTAGGTATTTGAATGGATGGATGGTCAGACGAATGGGTGAAAGGTTGTATGATGAATAGATGGACAAACAGCTGGATAAATGAAGAACTAGATGGACTGCTGAGTGGATGGATATTAGGATATTTAGACAGATGGATGAACATATGCTTGAATGAATGTTTGGAGAGACTGGTGGATGAAGAGATAAATGGGTGGAGAGATGAATGGATGGGATGGGTGGATGAACAAGCATTTGGATGAAAAGATGATTGGATAGATGGATTGGTGAGTGACTAGATGGTTTGATGTTTGATGAATAGATGTATGGACTTTTAGTTGGATGGATGCATGGATGGATGGAACAACAGGCAATATAGTGGCTGAGTGTGTAGCCCTGGGAGCCAGACCACCTCGATTTGAATCCTGGTTCTGCCATTTATGGGCTCTGCGACCTCGGGCAATATATTTTATTTTTCTTTGCCTGCTTCCTCATCATTTACACAGAATAATAATAGTTCCTACCTCCTGGCATTGTGAAGAGTGAATGAGTTGATACACATAAAGCCCTGGATTTATTATGATGAGAGGATGGATGGACAGTGCATCACTGAACTGGAAGGAAGGAACAGTGAGGGAGGTGAATGGGGTCATGCATACCCACAAGACACTGTTAGACATTTTATTAGGGTCTTTAAAGGATCTTCCTCTGTGTTCCCAATGGTTATGGCCCCAGGAATAGATCAGATCTGGACGTAGGACAAAGTGACATCACCCTGGATCTCCACCATGTCCACTGTCTGGAAGGTGGAAAGGCGATGGGAAAAGTCGAAGAGGTGCTGACCATTGGCATAAACCTTGAAGCGATCCATGCCACAGCGAATAGACAGCTGCAGAGAGAGGGGCGGGCATGAGGCCAGAGCTAGGACAGAGGCTTTGGAGGGAAGCAGGGAAAGAGACCTGAGACTTACATCAAAGAACTGTCCAGGACCGAATGGGTTGTAGGAAAGTTTCCTCTCCTCTGGTCCCCACGAGCCTTTCAGGCGGCTGTTCCGAACCACGACGCCCTCCGTCAGGCGGGGGTTAATGTGCAGAGCCAGGTCCCCCGAAGATCCCACCTTGAAGTTGATGACAAAGCTGGGGCAGAGAGGGAGTTAGGAGTAAGAGTTGGGAGCTGGGGGAGGTGGAGTGGGGAGCTCCCTCCCCAAGGAAGGGTGCCTGGACTCCGGGGTCTCCAATGGAGGAGAGGGCTGGAAGGCTCAGACCCCCAGGTCTGAGGGATAAGGGGGACTGAGGAGTCACACCTCTATCTAGATTCTGTACCTCTTGCCTGTGGGGGGTACATAGCCCTTGACTATGATGGTTCTTCGGGGTGTAAGCCCGCCTTGCAGTCTCCCCATAAATGGCACGGGCTGTGGGAAGAGAACATGGTGTCCCATCATCTCTCAGGTCACCAGAAGCAAGATGCAGGGACAAATTTTCAGAGCGAGGAGCTCACTTGTCCTGGGAAACATCCCCGACCCCATCTCCTCCCCCACCCCCCAATTCCACCCTCTCCCCACCCACATCCCACCCCAAACACCCTCTGCCCTCTATTTCCTACCTTCTCACGGCTCCCTGTGGTTCAGGACCCCCCTACCCACCACCAGTTCTGTTTTCCCACAAATAGCCCACCGCAGAACCCTGAACTCCTGAAGGATACCATACCGGGTTGAAGGTTGGGGGTCCTTCCATGGTCTGTGAAATAAGGAAGAGATATTATTCTATAACTTTTGACAAACCTTGGGGGCACATCTAAGGCATATCTCTAGGTGTTGGATTAGTACAACTGGGGATCCGACCTCTCTGACCATCCCCCTTCCCACCAAATGACCACCCAACCCTCCCACTTACAGGCAGGCTTCTTGATTGTTGGTGGTACTGGCCAGGACCCTACATGGACGGACAGAAGGCATGAATGGTGGAGGAGGTTGGGGGGGTCCTCTGGCTGACCCAGGACCTCCTCAGCCACTGACCCCCCATTTCAAGGGGATGACCATCACACACCAGCAGGTACTTACTGGGTACGCTGGATTAGGCATGGGTGGCTGTGGGCACAGAAGAAAGAGGCAATGAGGGGGACTCCAAACTAGGGCCTGGAGGTGTAAACGATGCCTGTCCCTTGACTCCGGGGTCAAAGGGTGGCACCCAGATAACTCATTCATGGAGAGGAGCTCGCCGTGTTTAGCCATCTCCAGGGCATCGTGAATCTCAACCCACCCCTCTAGAACAAGCCGGGTAAATTCTCTTTTTGCATCTTGCTGTCCCAGGACCTTCCTCCACCCCTCTCCTGCCCCCTCCACCCAGGAACCGTATGATAAAGTATGCACGCTCAGAACATCCTCCCAGGTCCACCTGATACCCTGCTCACCTCACCTCCAACCAGGATTGGCCCCTCACTCTATGAGCTCACCCCTGGGGCGAGCCGGGGTACTTGGAAGCAGCTAAGTTCCTGTCTGAGGCTCTCTCAGTCCAAGTGTGTCTCTCTTTGTCTCTGTTTCTCAGTCTCTGTTCCTCTCTCGCAGCCTCAATGTTTCTCACAAGTGATTCCTTCTTCCTGAAACACCTTACCGCTCCCAGACAACTTTTATTCACCCTTACCCTCTGTTTCCTCCTCTAACGAACTCCTTTCTGCTTTGACTTCTGTTTTAAGCCAGCTAGTCTGAAGGCCCTGGAAAAAATAGCTTTATTGTCATTTTTTTTTAATGCACTGATGAAGCACGAAGTTAAGATGAACTGCCGTGGGCCTGTGGCTGCCTTACGATAAGACATTTCCTTATCAGAGAGGTAGAGGGGTGGTTTGATCTGTGCCTCTGCTGCTTACAAATGCCATGATCCACAGCAAGTTACTTAAGCTCTCCGTGCCTCAGTTCCCATATCTGTAAAATGGGGCTATGAGGTCCTGGGTTCAATCCCCAGTACCTCCATTAAAAAAGAAAAAAAATGAGGCTGATGGTCATCAGAGTACTTTCCTCGGGGAGGTGCTGGGGAACCTACAGGCTGGGAAGGGGAGAGTCCTCAGCTGAAGGGCATAGGGGTCTGGAGTTTGGGTTTCTCTAAGCAGTACTGCTGTGAGTATTCCAGTGTATGTGTTTTGGTGGCCAGCGGTTCACTGTGGACCTGGGAGTGGAGTTTCATGGTCATCGGGTGTATGTCTGTTCAGCAACCATAGACACTGCCCTGTCATCTTGCAAGTTATGGGAGTGTTGGCCAGTCCACAGCCTCATCAACAACTGGTACCATGTGCCTTTCTCATTACAGCCCTTCTGGCGGGTGTGTAGTGGTGGCTCCCTGTGATTTTCAGTGAGTTTCCAGCTGACTAATGATGTCAGGCAACTTCTCAGGAACATGTTTGCTACTCCTGTGGTTTTTGTTCCTGTGTATCTTCATTTCCTGACTCAGCTTAGACACCCACTTCTCCTCCAGAAAGCCCTTCCTTAAGACCTCCTGTGTGGTCCCCCATGCCTGCACTGACAACCTGTGGCCAATACCATCTGGCAACACATCCATCTTCCCAGTGGACTGTCTTGGTCACCGCTGGGTTCATGGCATCACCCAGCAAAGGGATGGGCACAGAGCAGGTGCTCAGGAAATAAATGACTGTGGGGATGAATTAAGGAAGAAAGCAAACAAATAAGAGAGGGAAATGCCACACACCTGGAATGGGGCAGGGTGGCCCCCGATGAAGTTGATTGATTGGAGTTCCAGGTCCCCATCCACTTGCAGGTGGGTGACCGTCTGCACTGGGAGCCGGTGCCCAAACTCATAGAAGGGGTTCCCATTCACCACCACCTGGAGGGCAGAGGTAAGGTCAGAGTCAGCAACCATGACCTTGGGAAGGTAGAAAGAGGAAATGGGAAACAGGGACTTGGGGTCAAAAGTCTTGAGGGTGAGCTGGGATAACCTCAGAGTCAGGAATCTGGAATCCCCTGGTCAGTGGTCAAGCTGAGGGTAAAAAGTCAGCTCACAGACTGGTGACTGGGAGAGAAGAGAGAATTTAGTCTGGAGATGGAGACTGAGAGAGAATCGAGTCAGAGTCCTGGTTTTAGCACCAAATGAGTTGGGTTTGAGGTCTTGTTCTGACGTATCTTGGCTGTGTGACCTCAGGTAAGTTATTCACTTCTCTGAGCCTTTGTTTCTGCATCTGTAAAATGGGGGCTTGCTCTGGGATTGTGGAGAAGGTGTGTCAAAATCCTGGGTAGAGCCTTGCCTTGTTATCACATCTCAGCCTACTTTAAGCCAGCACGGTTCTATTTATAATGCTAAGCAGTGGGCATGGGGCTGAAAGCCAGCTCCACTGGATCACAAGCTTCCTACAACAGCTCCGTGAGGCAAGACAAGGCACTGTCTCTATTGTTCAAAAAAGCAGGTTCCAGGCCCTAGAGTGACAAGTTCAAGGTCACACAGGGGGAGTGGCAAAGCCCAGACTTGAACCTGACTGTGCCCAGCTCAAGCCATGATGTTAACCTCTGGTGATGAGGTCAGAAACCGCGTACCCATATGAGGGCAGGTAATGTCCAGGTAGGTTCTCCCACCCTGCAATTTCCCTCCAGGGGATTCCTCTCGCCTGGGCTGGTGGGCGGGGTGGGGCGGGGTGGGGAGATGAATGTGCACAGGGTTTCCGCTGCAGTGTCATTTGTGCGGAGCCGGAAGTGGGGGATGGAGAGATCTTGGAGCACGGACACAGGGAGTCCCCCATAGGCATCAGAAGGGCCAGACCAAATGTGACAGCACAACACGGGGGCTCTAACATAGACAATGTGCATGGGAAAAACAGAAGGTACAGCATGAAGAACACACATACCTAAAAAAACACAGGCACAGAAACAGAGCCAGAACAACAGATAAGGATAAAGGCCACCCCTGGGGCTGGAGGGACTGGGAGGGCCATGAGGGGGCTTCTGGGGCTAGAGGGGTTCTGTTTCTGGATCTAGGAGCTGGCTACCCAGTGCGTTCTCACTGTGAAAAAAACGGAAGTTGTGGATGCATGGCGGGCACTTTTCTGTACTTGGGTCACACTCCAGTAACACATCTGGGGGAAGGTATAGCTCAGCGGTAGAGCGCGGGCTTAGCATGCACAAGGCCTTGGGTTCAACTCCCAGTACCTTTATTAAAATAAAAAAAATAATAAATCTAATTACCTTTCCCTCCAAAAAACAAAAATAAAAAAGTATATGGAAATGTAAATGACCTAAAATAGCGAAAACAATTTTTAAAAATAAAAATTAATAAATAAACCTAACTACCTCCCATCCACCACCCCAAAAAAGATGGACATTAAAAAAAAATAATAACACATCCCAAATCCTCCCATAATAGTAATCAATTACACTGTGTGGGTCTTTTCTGGACCCTGATTCAAACACACAAATTGTGAAAACAACTAAGATTATGGCATTTGTGATATGCCTGGATCGCTGACTGGGTGTGTGAAGGTGCTAAGACCTGTTCATTGTTTAGGTCTGAGCCTGGCATCGTGACTGTGTTCTTAAAAACGGAAATATTTTGTGAATGAAATGATTTGATATCTGGGATTTGCTTTTAACTAACACGGGAGGGGCAGTGGGAGGTGGACAGGCCGAGGAGCTGAGGGCTTCTCAGGACTCTGTACTTCCCTGCGTGTTTAGAGTTTTTGGCAAGAAAGAGCAAAAATACGCATTTCGCAAGAACACGGAGTAATGAGATGATATATGTGAAATGTATTAGTAGGCTCTCCCCGGTGGAGGAATGGGAATGAGAAAAAGGCATGGGAGAATTTTTTCACTAGGCAGGAGAGGAGGAAAAGAAAAGAAAAAAGTGAGGCAGGGAGGGAGGAGGGCAGGGTAAGGAGGAGGCAGCGGGAGGGATGGGGCGGGGGAGGGGAGAGGGAGGAGGGAGGCCCCGCCCTCGCGGCTCCGACCTTGTAGTGCTCCGGCAGGATCATGAACACCAGCTCGAAGGCGGCGCCCTTGCTGAAGGGCATGCTCATTTTTCTCTCCTCCTTGCCCCACTTGCCGTCCTGCTGCGTGTTGAAGACCACCTTGTCCCAGCCATCAAAGCGGGGGTTGAAGTGGAAGGCCACGTCCGCCCCAGGGCCCTGGCCCACCACGAAGTTCACGAAGAACCTGGCGGGACACGAAGGGCTGTTCTCCTGCCTCCCACTCCCCCGCAAGCGCCAGCTTCCTCTGGGAAGCCCTCTGTGTCCCAACCTGTTCCAAAGTCCCTGCCGGGGTGGTGGGTGGGGGGTTGGGGGGAGTGGGGAGGGAAGGCGAGGGGGTGGTAGGTGGGGGGCTGTGACCTTGGCACTATTGACCCGAGAGTGGAGGAGTAAATTGTGCCCCTTAGACCAGGCAGCAGATTCCCAGCACCACCCCTTCTCTCACTCTCTTTCCAATAAGGGACCCCCTCCCCACACCCAACTTCAGACAGGACTACTATTGGACTCCTGTGTTTATCCCAACTAGACATTTATCAGTTCAGGTCTCTCTGCCCGCCCCCCAGGCTCCTGCAGGCCATTCCCCATGTGCAGCCAGAGGGACCTTGTGAAAACCCAAATCAGACCACTGTCCTCACACCAACATCCCCCAAATCCTTGGGGCAGGCACACACCTGCCTCAGGGCCTTTGCACTGACTGTTCTTTTGGCCTAGAATCCCCTTCCCTCAAATACACCCCAGGCTTCCTCCCTCACCTCCTTCAGGTCTTTGCGAAAATTTCCCTTCCCTTCCCGGGAACCTTTACCTGGCCACCTTATTTAAAGGGACAATGCCACATTTCCTCGACCCCCATCGACTCCCTATTTCCCTTCCCTCCTTATTAATCTCCAGAGTATTTAGCATCATCTGACATATTATATATTTGATGTATTTATTTTTTTATCTGTCTCCTCTACTAGGATGTCAGCTCCACAAGGGCAGGGATCTTTGTCCTGTTGACTGCTCTGTCCCCCGTGTCTAGGCACAGAGTTGGAGCTCAGTGGGCAAAGAAGCAATGGACAAAGAAACAAGAGTCCTATGCAGTCAGTTCAATTATTATCACCATTTTAAGATCATAAAAAGCTAAGCGTTATTATACCACTTACTTGAGGGCTCTACATGTTTTACACACTGAATCCTCAAAACAATCCCATTTTACAGATTACAAACTAAAGCACGGTGAGCTTTCCATCACACAGTGGGTAAGTGACAGAGCTAGGTTGTGAACTCAGGCAGACTAGCTCTGAGCCTGTGATCTTCATTCATGCTATCACACCTATCAGTCCAATCCAGTGTCTCACCTCTGGGGTCATATATCATGGTGCATCTCCCTGACACCTCCCAGCTCCCAGGGCCTCCACTCCTAATCTAGTCACCAGGCCCCGGACTGCCCAGACCAGGTCTCTGACAAACTAGGGTGGAGGGAGGGAAGAAGGCTTCCTACACAAGGGTTGGAAGCCCCCTGTTTGTAGCCCCCTCCCAGCCTAGCCTGGTGTGGGGGAGAGTCTTACCTCTTCATGTGCTGGCTAGCCATTCCTTGGATGTAAACAGACATTCCGACCCTGAGACCACCTGGGATGGGGTTGTGGTACGGCAGCGTCTGCAGAAGGGGCCAGGTGAGGGGCCTCGAAGGCCATTGCAGCCTTCACTCCTCATCCAGAAGCCCCTCCGCCCCAACTCCCTTAAGCAAGGGAGAGGAAGCCAAGGGGTGAGGGATCAGCATGCAGATGAAGAGGGGGTAGTTAGAGACAGACATTAAGTAGCCTGAGCATCAGGATGGGAGTAAGTCAAGCCCCAGGGCCAGTACTGGGTAAATCACGCCAAGGGTTGGGTGGGCGCCTCTGAGAATCAGGGTGAGGGTAAATTGTGCCTAGGGATCAGGGTGGAGCTAAGTCAGGTCCTAGGGTATCTCACCGGGTTGTAGGTGGGCTGGTAGCCCGGTGCAGGGACAAAGGCCATCTCGAGAGGCTGGGCTGGTGGCTCCTCCTGTGAGAACAGCTGCAGGAGTGGAGAATGATGGCTGATGGCAAGTGGTAGGTGGCTTTTATACCTGAGGATAAGGGAGTGGCTGGCAGGGCAGGATTTATGGGGTCCCTCTTCTGGGCATCCCCGGCTCACATCTTCTAGGGCATCTCGTCTCCCTTCTCTTCTCAGCCTTACTGGTAACCAGCCAGAACCCAGATGATCTGGGCCAGGCCTGGGGGACTCAACTCAGAGCCCCCTCCTCTAAGCCCTTCTGCAAAGAGGAAGTGCTGGCAAACTTTGGACCTTCCAGGGCCTTATCAGAGCCTATAAATGCCTGCTTGACCTTTGTTAGCAGAGGGAGGGTGAAGCCAGGAGGGTTGGGCAGGGCAAGGCTAAAAGGAGTGGTTCAGACAGATGGGCAATGGAAGAAACTGAAATCAGGGAGGAACTGGGAGCTCTTGATACTCCCAGAAACTGAAAGGACCTAAATTTATTGCATGCCTACTACATGCCTCTACCACGTGCATTATATTGTATATATAGTGGTTTAAATCACTGATCTCTGAGGCCAGAGGTTTTGGGTTCCTTCCTCTGCCACTCCTCCGCTGTTTGATACTGAATCAGTGCCTAAACCTCAGTTTACCCATTTGCCCATCTGTAAAATGAAGATATTAATAGTTATCAACCCCACAGGGTCCTTGAAAGGAATCATCCAGTCAAGAAATACCCAGAACAGGACTGGCATATAGAAGACACAAAGGTAATGTTTGGTCTCTTGCCCTTATTCCAAACATAAATCCAGGAGGTTGGGATTACACATGGGTAAGAAAACCCAAAGCTTAAAGAAATGAGGCAGTTAGCCCAGACTGGGTAGCAATGGAACTGTAGCCAGACTCCAGCACTGGATCCCAGGTGCCAGGTGGGGGAGAGTGAACACCGCCCTCAAGCCTAGAGAAGGCAGGGAGACCATCTGTAGCCTTACAGCCCAGAGGGAGCCATGTGACTTTCTATTGACCCTGACCTACCCACTGCCATTCTGAAGGGTCATCACCTGCATGGCTCCTATTCCTATCAGTCAAATCTCTATCCCCAATCTTCAGCACAACTGTGGTCCTTGGAGCCCCCAGGTGCATCATGTTACCCCCTTTCTGCCTCTCCTCCCTCTCCAATAAGGACACCAGGTTCTTAACATTGATTTATTGCTAGTGCGGCGAAGACAAGGTGGGAGGAAATCAATATCATTAAGTTATAAACTGGGAGGAGAAAACAGCGAGGTGACCATGTTCACTAATCCTCTCCGTGAATGAGGAAACAGCGGCACGAGGTCAGACCCTGGGTGAAGACCTGGGACGAGAGGCCTCTCAGAGATTGGTGAAGGTGACGGTCTTCAGGTCCTTCTTCTGCAATGCGGCCTGAACAGACTTAATGATGTCCTCTGTTTGCAGCATGCTCATGTTCCAGGATTTCTGGATAAAGAGAGCAGCGGGTAATAGAATGGATGCAGGAAGATTTTAATTAGGCCAATGGGAAAATGGGAGGGAAATAGCAGCACACCAGTCAGAAGACAAGGGCCACAGAGAGCCACTGTGCCCTGATTGGTCGCTCTGGGATCAGAGAAGGGCTGTGATTGGTCGGATGAAGAGCCTCACCATGAAGTTGAGGCCGTCTGTCACGGAATGGTCGCGGGAGTAGATCAGGTTGATTTTGGTGCCCTGCACCGCCACGGGGCTCCTGCTGGAAATCTCAGATGCCAGGGCGAAGGCTGCATCAAGCATGACCTCCTTGTCCGAGAAGACCCGACTGGAAATGAAAGGAATTAGGAATCGGGCCATCTGAGAAGGGCCCTCTCCTTCCTCCCATGGATGAAGAAGTGGCCAATCACAGTAGCAAGCGGAAGACACTCCAGTGAAATGGCCCAATCAGAGCAGGGCATTAGACTGTAGCCCACCCAGAGAGAGGAGCCCACTTGAAATCTTGAGTGACGTATATGGGGATTTAGAGAGCCTCACTCAGGTCTGGCTGCCCCTGAACTCTTATCCAGAGCAGAACTCAGCCCTTACCTGACCAACCCACTGTCCAGGGCCTCGTCAGCCATCATCATGCGGGCAGTGAAGGCCAGCTCGTTGACCAGGCTGCAAGAGGGCAGGGCGTGTCAGGGGACTGCAGTCATCCCAGGCCCTGGAGATGCTCTGCGGTCCCCTCACCCAGGATCCCCTCGTCTACCTCTGGTTCCCGATGACTCTGGGCAGTCGCTGCAGGGTTCCTACATCCGCTGCCAAACCAGTGTCCACCTCCTGGGGAGAGCAATCTTGTCAGTGCTTGGTTTCTGCCCAATATTGCCCCCATGCAAACCTAATGCCAGAGAGAGTCTACACTTACTACAGAGGTCCCACTCCACACCCACCTCAGAGACTCCTTCCCACGCCAAACACCCTGTTTCATTCCTATCCACATACTTTTGCCCATGTAGGTTTCTTTGGTCTAGAATAGAGCCCACCCTCCAATTCCTCTGCCCTCCCAATTATTTGAAGTCAGCCACGTCTACCTCCAGATGGAAGCCTGCCCCAACGCGCCTCCCTCCATGAGCTCCATCCTACCTCCCGCCTGTACTCCAGCACTGACCCCAGCAGCACCCTCAGCCTCATCCCTGCCCCCAGACCTTTACTCACTCCTCACTTCACCTGGACTGCATGGCCCACCCTTGACTTCCTGTATAGCCACGTGTTACTATTTAAGGTTCAATTCTGACCAACTCTTCCATGAAGCCCTCCAGGGTCCCTCCAACTGCCTTAGCTTGCTCTTTCCCTGCTCTACCCCTGCTCCCACCTGGCTCTGCCACTCATTTCCCAGCTCTAAGCAGGACCCCAGGAAGCAGGAGTTTGGGAGGGTGACTCACCTTCACCTGGAAGAAGGCATCCTGGGCACAGTACCGGATGTCACAGGCAGTGATGAGATCCACGCCTGGGAGGTAGAGGTCAGGGACACTAACCACAAGGACCAACTCCTCCTCCCAGGCCATGGGGGTGCACCTTGGGGCAAAGTCTAACTAGCAACAGATCTGAGGCTGGGAGCCATTGGCTGGATGGGTGATGGGTGGCAGCAGACTCACCTCCACCAATGCAGCCCCCGTGGATGGCAGCAATCACTGGCTTAGGGCACTGGAGGGGGGACAGGAGGAGCAGGGTCAAGGCTGGTCCAGGAGCGGCGGGCAGGAGGGATGCCCTGCAACCCCCCTAGAGTCACCTTCTCAATGACACTGAAAGTCTCTTGGTATCTGGTGATGAGGCTACGGAGCTGCCAGCTGGTGCGGGCCACATCAGTTCTTTGCGGTTTAAAGAATTCTGAAGCCAAGTCCATGAGATCGATCCCTGGTGGGGCGACATGAGGAGGGTCACCTAGTCTCCCAGGTCCCACCTATTGCCGCAACTAGAGGTCAGAGCCCAGGCAAACCACCAGTGGAGAAAGCAACTCACACAAGACTTCTGGAGGGATCGCTTATGGGGTGTGAAGTCAAAACAAGCTGACAGGTGTTGAGTCATCCCTCACTGTAGCCTCACGATGACTCTGAGGTAGGTCCTGTTACTATCTCCTTTTACCCCAGGAGAAATCGAGGCCCACAGAGCTTAAGTCACTTGCTCAAGGTCACACTGGTTTGTGAGTAATGGAACTGTGATTTCAAACCCAGAATCCCATAGCTGGCTCCTGGGGCCATGCTTTTCCAGATGGTACCAGATGGCCTGCAGGTCAAGGTTTTGGTATGAGCAACTGTGTCAAAGGTGGTCATGTTTCCAGAGGCAGGAAGACCAGAAATTGAGCCATTTTCGCAGCTCCTGCTTCAAGACAATCCCAAATCTGACCTTTCCTCCACTAATCATTCTCCATGACCCCTAGTCTGGCTACCACCACCTCTTCCAGTCTCCCCGCTCCATCCTCTGCCCTCAGTCTGTTCCCCACACGCAGCCTCAGGGCCCTCTCCTCTTCCCTCCCATCCCTCTTACTTAGAAAAAAGTACAAGGTTTTCTTTTGCCAAGACCTTACCAGCCCTGCAGGAGCACAATTTCCATCAGGCACACAGGCCTCCAACAGCTGTTCCAACAACACAACACATTCCCTTCCCAGGGCCTTTAGTGCCTACTGCTCCCTCTGCCTAGAACAGTCCTTCCCAGTGATGGACTCCATCACACTGTTCAGGCCAGTCCAATGGTCGCCGCCAGCTCTGGCCGCCCCGGCTAAATAGCAGCCCATCACCCTCCAGCTCCTTCCTCTGCCTTATCTCCTCCACAGCCCTCTTGTTATCACATAATTGTGAACTTATCTCATTTAGTGCCTTTCTGGGATATGAGCTCCATGGGGGGGGAGCAGTTTTTACCTTTTTTGCCCATCACTGTATCCCCAGTGCCTAACAGGGCCTAGTAAACAGTAGGCGCTCAATAAGCGAACAATACAGACGACAATCCCTGTCCCCATGGAGCTGCCCTTCTGTGGGGGAAACGAATAAGAAATTATATTCTGTCAGGTGGTGATAAGTACTGAAAGAGAGGGAGGTGGAATGGAGTGCGTGTGTGTGTGTGTGTGTGTGTGCACGCGTGTACACAGTAGAAGGCTGTTGCCATATTAACTGAGGGGTCAGGGACCCTCTCACTGAAAAAGTGACATTTGAGTAAAGAAGGATGAGAGGGAGGGAGCTGTAGGGAGTATCTGGGATGAGGGTTCTAAATGTCAGGAACAGCCAGCTCAAAGGCCCTGCTGTAGGAACGCCCCAGGTCTGTGTGAGGACCAAGGAGGAGGCGCCAGAGGGGAGTGAGCAGGGGGATGGGGAGGGAAGGAGGAAGAGCCAAGTTTAGAGAGGTGACAGAGGCAGACCCTTGTGGGGCCTTGTGGGCCAAGAGGAGGATTTTGGCTCTACTTTGAGTGAGATGGAGCTACGGAATGGTTCTGAGCAGAATTTTCTTCCTCCTGAGGTTAATCATTCTCATTTCAACGCTGAAAAATCAAACCTGAAAAATGATTCCTCTGTTTGGCCACACCCCTGACTCTCTGAGGCTTTGTTTCCTCCACAGTTTGTTTAAATGAATGAGACCAGAGGAGTGTTGACTCAGGGTAGAGCCGAATTTGTGCAAGTTAAATATGTATAAGACGGAACTTCCTTGTGTGACCTTGGCCAGGTCACTCCATCCTCTGGATCTTGGGCTTCTGCTCTGAAAAACCCTCCCGAGAGCTGATGGGGCTGCAAAGACTCAAGGACACGGAGCCCAGAGGTGCTGTGAGCAGTGCCTGGCAGGTGACGGCATCACAACAGCTACTATTATGATATACTCCATCTTAGCATAGACTAGAACCTCCTGCATCAGCCTGCGGGCATTTGCTGGCTTCCACAACAGGTCTGAGCAGCTTGGATGACTCATTGGGAGCCCTGCTTACTCCCAGAACAAGCCCAGCTTGGCAACTTGCGACACTTCCTCCCACTGGCTTTTCTGGTTTATCCGCCCTACCTGGATCCGCAGACATTGGTGTCTGCAACCCCTTTGAATGGAAAGCCCCAGCCCATGGTACAGGGTGTCCCCTTCCAGAGTCAGAACTCATTCCAGAGAAGTCCCCTTAGTACCCTATGAACCTCTGAAGGTTTTAGATGTCATTCATAATCGCAATTAAGTTCTTCATAATCATAAAAAATAACAGCTCCATTAATAAAAGT